ATGATTGAAAAGCTGATAAAAATCGTGAATTTCATAGGTTAAAACTAATTATTAACCTTGGCCTCAATTTTTTAACCATTCTCAAATAATAATAATAATAATAATAATAATAATAATAATAATAATAATAATAATTGGTGATTGCAGCTTTTCAGGCAATTGCTAGCAAGCAGCAAGTAGCCTGTGACACGCCCATTTTGGCTTGTCACGTGGGCCGGCCAGTCACAAACATGACTTGCTCAGGTTTGAGCCATCACCCAAAATGAGTTTCAGCTCAAGCCACGAGTCAAGCTGACGAGCCGGATTGACATCCCTAGGTGGTGGACAATTGGAGGGTATACAGATTGAAAAAAAAAAAAGAGTGTCTTGTACTCTATTTTCCTTTCTTTCTTTTTCCATCATTATACATTTCTCTTTTATTTTTATTTTTCATATAAATATACGTGTTTATCATTTTATTCACGAACTAATTTCACGTAGTGCTTGTATCTTTTTAATGCTAAAACTTATGAGTTTAGTCTATCAGAGTCCCAAATGATTATAGAATTAAAATACTAAAGATCGTAATATCGAGGAAAATTATGTTAGAGACCAACTGCAAGATTATGCGGTCAATTTTATTATAGTTGGGCAAATTTTTCATTCTCAGCTTTTGGAATGCATATTTTCTCTTCCCATTGACAATATTGATGTTACTTCTTACTTGTATTTTACTATTTCTAGATACAAGACTGAGGAAACTGTGTTTAAAAGCAGGGTATTTCTATACAAATGAAAGTAATAAATAAATGAATGATATTTAAAAGTGGAAAAAAATAATGAGCATATTTATTAATTTCTTATTTTTTCGTCGATTTTTTAATATTTTGTGATGAGACTAGTTTTCATACTATTCTCTTTCTTGTCTAATCTCTTTCATTCATCGATATATTGTGTTCCCCTCCCTCCCTTTCGTGAAAGAAAACGAGAGATGGTGTTTGGATTTCATTAGCTTGGCCCAACCATGATGACTTGATGGGAAAATGGCGAGTTGTCGGATAATCAAGCTCGCTTTCACTGCTTATGGATTGACACACGGGTGGAATAATAGCTTCCTCCCATCAATGAAAAACACCAGTGATGATCTTTAATAAAGCAATTTATGTAGAAATTGATCTGCTAGGTAGATCGGAAGTTTGTTACCATCATGATTTTTACATGTATGAAGCTCGATCCTTGAAATGTAATTTCTCACCTTCTTCAACTCACATGAAAGAGATGATTGCGAGCGAACTTCCCTTGAAATGTGACTCAAAAAAAACATGTTAAATAAAATAACTCGACCTATATTTCAGTGAATATTGTTTAGGGGTATTGTTTTTTCTTCTATTAAGCTAATATTTGTCTCTATTTAAAATAAAACTCTTTAACTCTCATGCTTATTTTTAACCACACATTCACGAAATAAAATATTTATAAATAAACTCAAAATACTTTTTAATTACACGTTCTCCAAAAAAATAACTATTCAAAATCATTTATTTGACAATAATAGCCATCAAACAAGGACTAAGAGATGATTACCAGGTTATTAGTGCTAAAGGATAGATTCCAAATCATATAAATATGAAATGAATACAAAAGTATTAATAAACATATGAAGGTTTGGGATTACTCCACCTATCAATGTTTACCTTTTAGGATTTAGGATAGAACTCAAAGTTCATTAAGCAATTCAATCCGTCTAAAGCTCAAATGAACAATTGGATTTCAAGATTGATTTGCTTTAATGAGAATTGTTAATAAATCAAAATAATTTTACTATTTCTCAACCATTGATAACCCAACACATAAAAACCAAGTTAGCACTTCAAATGAGGGAAGGATACAATATGAGAACTCGACCTGGATGCCTAGAGGTATTAAAAGCCAAATGCTTGTCCATTTGGAACTAGGGGATAATTACCTGAATGATTACTGAACTTCGCGTAAAGTTTTCAAGGGTTATTGAACTTTAAAAGTTTCCCCATTAGTCACCGAACTTTACAAAACTTTTGAAGTTCAGCGGCCTCTTAAAAACCTTACGAAAGTTCAGTCACTAATCAGATAATTTATCAATCTTTATGCTTTTTTACTAACGGGAAAACTTTCGAAATTCTCGGTGATGGATGTAATTACATCTTGTAAATTTTACTGGCTAATGGATAAACTTTTGAAATTTGGGGACCTCCTGAAAACCTTTTGCAAAGTTTAATGACCAACCAGGTAATTATCCATTTGGAACTAAAGACTAAACAGGCTAGACAACAACGAAATGAGTAAATTCAAAAACTGATCAATCAAAATCTGCAAGTTTAAAAACTATTGAATTCAACCCATATTTTAATTCAAGTCAAAGTCAACAATTAATTTTAACTACGTATTTAATGAGATCCACATCTCTTTAACTACACATTTCATCAATTTCTATCAAAATTTACAAAAAATCTAATTTTAATCCTCAACAAACAGGGACTTAATTAATTTTTTACTACTGGTTTTACCTTTTATCTTTTCTATGTCAATACTAGAGCGACTTTTTAAAATGTTTCCTAGACTATATATTAGCAGCCATAAATGGATACGTTTAAGAAATTATAAACAAGCAACTCGACTTCATTTAGATAGAAGCAACTAAGAAACCTATACCCAGACCACTCAATCCATTAGAGTTATATTACACATATTTCGTATGTATAACCATGTTTTGAGAAATAATGTATTACGCATCGGTGTTTAGCCTATACTAAAAATTGAAAATCGCTATTTTCATCCACATTTTTCATATACATGAAAATATCAATTTTTAAATTAATTTATATGTGTATTATCAATTCGTCAATTTTATATATTTATTCCACTCTAAATATATATTTATTACAATTTTAAAATTTTAAAAAAAGTATT